TTACAGGCTGAGCCACGGAGCCCAGCTGCCAGCATTTTCATCTTCACTCTTTTCCAGTGGCTCCCTCTCAGTCCCACAAGGGCAGGGCTTCCCACTTTAGGAATCGGCTCTCCTTGCCCCACAACTCCATAGTCCCCTTCTTGCCTTGCCTCACCAAGCTGGAAATTACTGGTCCATGCCTGTAGTTGCTGTTCTTTCCATCTACTTCCTCCTTCATCCAAATCCCGCTTTGTTTCTTTCTCTTGGAATCGTCCTGTTATTTGTCTCCAGTGTTCACAGTCTTGGTTACATTTTACATCGTCTGCCCCCTCTTCTTCCTGCCATCTCTCTCCCTGTGGCCTCCTGCCTTTCTGACTGCCCCTTGTTCTGTCACAGACCCCCTTTTTCCCTCTCTGAGGCTCAGTCCTCAATGTGTTTCCGGTCTCACTGCACACTTCCATCAAGACCCCTGCATGTGTTCTCGGCATCAGTGCCAGCTTTATGCCAAAGACTCCTCAATCTAATGTCTAGACCCACCTTCTCACCTCAAGTCCTACTACTATCTGGACACATCCTGTTGGATTTTTCACCTTCATGCTAAACATGATCTATCTAAATCAGAACTTGTCATCTGCCATACCCTCATGCCCTCTTCCTCCTGACCCTCCTGGGATCATCGTGCCTGTCATAAAGACTCAAAAGCTTCAAGTAACTTTTGGCTCAACTTGACCTTTTGACCCTCAGTTTGACTTTAAAGAAAGGTTTTTTTTTTTTCTTTCCCAGTGCTTTGTGTCCTTGTAACCTAGAAACTTCTGACAGTCTTTAATTCTTGGAATCTCCTTCTCAGCCTCATCTCTTAACAACCCCTTCAGGAACCCAGTGGTTAGGCCAACCCAGGATGGTCACCAGCCCTTGAGTACATGCCAGTCTTTCCCTCTTCCCCCCGTTTATTGCCTGCACTGCCACTGTTACCTTGGCTACAGTAGTCTTCCTTCCAGACCCCTCATGCCCCTTCCCACTGCTGAAAACTCCCCTTCCTCGACCCACCACTTCAGATTGTCTTCATCTCGAAGCCTTCTCCAGCTTCTGACGCATCCAACTGATAGTGTTCTCTGCCTGTCTTCCATAGTTTCCATCACTCCTGGGCATTAGTATGTTCAGCCTTACATTATTAGAGTTTTTGTAACCATGTCTTCTCAACTATAACTTCGTCCAAGGCAGACACATCTATGTTTTCCTCAGCAAGCTGCGTCATCTCTGACATGTAGTTGGTACTCAGCAACACATCACACTGAATTCCCGCCACTGGTAGACATACATCTCTAGTCTCTGGTTTATGATGGACTCTTGTCCATCATATAAACCTCCTTCTCCCATACCTACCCCCCCACCCATACAAGGATTTGAATTCTGCCGCCGTAACTTACTTGTGATGTGACCTTGAACAAATTATAAAACCTCTTTAAAACTCCATTTTCTCATCTCTAAAATAGGCATGATAGCACCTACTTTATAATGTTGTAAGGATTAAATTAAACTACGTAATGCTCTTAGAATAGTGTGCCTGGCACAATAAATATTATATAATAGTAGCAACAGTAATGAATTTTCATAGCCTTATGCAAAAAGTCTTCAGTAGTTGCTTCCTACATTCCTCATTAAGGTATCTAAAGGGAACCAGATATCTACATCGGAGTGGATTCAGTGGCTTATGCCTACAATCCTAGCACTTTGGGAAGCTAAGGGCAAGAGAATTGTTTGAACCCTGAAGTTCAAGACTGGCTTAGGCAACATAGCAAGACCTCGTCTCTACAAAAATAAAAAAAAGTAACTGGGCATAGGGGAGCGTGCCTGTAGTCTCAGCTACTCGGGAGACTGAGATGGAAGGATCACCTGAGCCCAGAAGGTTGAGTCTGTGGTGAGCTGTGAGGGTGCCCCCCCCCTCCAGCCTGTGTGACACAGACCCTGACTCAAAAAAAAAAAAAAACGTATCCACATCTTCTGGCTGGCTTTCTGGAGTCTCCATTATCTGCCCCTAGACCACCTGTTCTATTCTGTCTTCATTCACTTTCCAAGCAGAGCCCTCACGGACCTTTGGTTTCTCTGTTCCACAAAAGCCTCTGGGTTTCATATTGCTCTCCCTCGCCTGGATATTTTTGTCTGCCCCTTTGCCCATCCAAATTGTCTTTGCAGCACCAGAAATTCCCTCAAGTTAGACTTCTCTTTGCTCTTCCTTCCACCTTGAACCTCTCTACTACCTATCATTGACCACACTTTAGCACACAAGCTTGTTCTCACCTGCTTTTGTGTGTTGGCTTTCTCGCCCTACTGTATGATAAATCTCTAGAGACAGACTTGCTTTTTAAGAAAACTTCTGCATCTTCCACACCAGTAAGTAGTGTTGAGTTGCATAGCAGTTGGTCAGTAAATACAGTATTTTGTATCCAAAATACAATTGGATAATAGAAAGTGAAAACAACATAGAACAAACCAAAGATTGGGGGTTTAATTTGTCCTGAAGCTTTATATATTCATTTTCCTCCAGTGGTCTCCTCTGAACTGTGTCACTGTATTTTCAGCCCTGCTGCCAACTGCCACAAGGGAGATCAGTTCAATTTTATGCCAGGGCTTTCTGAAACCTTGGCTTGTTCAATTTGAAGTAGCTTATTTTATTTTATTTTATTTTTTTGAGTTGGAGTTTCACTCCGTCACCCAGACTGGAGTGCAGTGGCCACTCCTGGCCACCGCAGTATCGACCCGCTGGGCTCCGGCGATCCTTCCCCCTCAGCCTTTCGAGTAGCCGGAATTACAGATGTGCGCTACCACGCCTGGCTGATTTTTGATTTATTGTGGAGATGAGGTCTCGCCAAGTTGCCCAGGCGGGTCTCGAACCCGCGGGCTCAGGCAATCCACTCACCTTGGCCTCCCAAAGCACGGGATTACAGGCTGAGCCACTGAGCCCGGCCTGAAGTTGCTTATATGTAACTCTGTTCAAAGAGCTGACAGTTCTGAGTGAAAACTCCCGGGTCTAACATTGAGCCCCAATTTTTAAAATCTAATTGCAAGCTGGCATTAATAATGCAGACAATGCTTTTGTTGAAATAATTTGGGTCTTTGAGGAGGACATTCCTTTTGTCCATTCAGAACTTCTGTGTTTTCTTCGGGATACATCCACGGTTCCATCGGTTGGAGCTCTTCTTGCATAATCCCTGTGACACTGACTGTCCTATGTGATGTCATTCTTTTGTTTTTTGTGTTTTGTTTTTTTTTGAGTTGGAGTCTCACTCCTTCGCCCAGACTGGAGTGCAGTGGCCGCTCCCG